GAATATGTATGCCCAGCATGATTGATGTAGCAAAAACAAATCTCACGAAACTGCAAATCATACAAAATTCAATACTAACTACAGTTTTCACTGTACAAAAATACACAAACTCAACATTTTTACATAATTATGCAAACTTACTTATGCAAACCGAAATATATCTCTATATCATAAATGCTGTTGATAGGGCTAAGTGCATTTCTCCATCAAGTTTATATTTTAAGAATAAGACCACGCACTGGACGTCAAAATTTGCCACCAAGATTTAAATACCGCTGATGTATTTAAAAAAGGGTATTCGTGTATAAATACGCGTTGGTGAATATATCTTGAGAGCAAGTGTGATTTAATATCGGAACTGTTTTTGACCATACACGGCCGAATGAAGCGAAATACCTCGGTATGAACTCTTTGTTAGTGTGAGACCAAATAAGAAGAAGAATTAAAATTACACTAAATGCTACTAGCATTCTATGAAAGGACACAGAATACCATCAGTAGAATTTGTCAGTTTCTGATCAATAGTTAAAGAGGGAGGAAGAGATCGAAAGTGTACCTGACCCTCCCAGGTCCTCAATGACTTAAAACCCAGTGCCAAGTATGCAATGCCAATGGAGGTTAAAAGATTATCGCGCTATGAAGTGTATGTTGTATTTTTCTCCAAAGTACAGCTGAATTTGTTGCGAAGAAAGAGATGGTACACGATTGTACATATCACAGTCTTTATTTAACAACAAACAGTTAAAACTTACACATACAAAACACGAGAGCAAGTGTTTATTGTGGAAGTGTTGATTTGGCAACAGAAGAGTGAAGAAACCTTTATTAGTTTCTCTTACCAGTTTAGTGTGCTCCCCCTTGTAAGCTACACTAAAAGTCAGGTTAAGTGTGAAAAGTAAAATCTAATATAAACCTCAAAGTTAAGGTTAAAATAGAAAATAAGTCAAATGCCCAAACAATGTTAAACAAAAAGCAGCTTTTAACTTCCTCTAAAGTTAAAATCAACAATCCACAGTTAAGTTAAAAAAAAGTTTACTAACAATAGCAAACGTTGTGAAAAAAGTTAAAAGCTGCTTAAATAAAAAAATTCACTCTTATGTGTAAGGGATGCAAATAACTAATATATTTAAAGCAGTTAAAGGTATATATTTAATATATTTAAAGCAGTTAAAGGTGTATATTTAATATATTTAAAGCGATTAAAGGTGTATATATTTAATATATTTAAAGCAGTTAAAGGTATATATTTAATATATTTAAAGCAATTAAAGGTATATATATTTAATATATTTAAAGCAGTTAAAGGTATATATTTAATATATTTAAAGCAGTTAAAGGTGTATATTTAATATATTCAAAGCGATTAAAGGTATATATATTTAATATATTTAAAGAAGTTAAAGGTATATATTTAATATATTTAAAGCAGTTAAAGGTATATATTTAATATATTTAAAGCAGTTAAAGGTGTA